GAAGAATATTATATATAAAAATTGCCGCAGTAAAGATTTAATCCAAGATAACATTGTTTTAGGCGATGTTGCTTTATAAAAGTCTCCTAACCTGACAATTTAACAATCTCATTAACTACGCCAGATAGGGAGATAGGCATGGACTGACTCGACACAGAAAAAAAAATTAGTGGCAGGGCCTATGGGGCTCCAGATTGCTTGAAAGACCGAGGGTTCCAGGAATGCTGGAGAATAAAAGTGGGGTTGCTTTAGTGAACTGGGGGCACCAGGGATCCTAGCAGCCTGACCTCTCTACATAGGTCATTGGGGAAAGAAAGAGTGCAGCCTGGGAACACCGAGCAGGGTAGGGGTGGCAGTGCGGACCTCTCCCTAGCCTCAGCCCTGAACTGGCTGTAGGAATTTGGGACCCTCTACGGACAGTAGGGCCTCCAGTTAGCTTTCCACTGCTGTCACTACAGCATTCAGCTCCAGCACCCAAATCCAGATCTGAGCCCCAACTACTAACTGAAATAGCAAGTATTTTTCTCACTCACCTGCTCCCAGGCCTTTTCAGTTGCTGATGACATCCTTCTCTCCGTCAGGATGGAAAGAACTTTTCTCCTGTCTAGATAGTTTCAACCACCCAAAGTTAAAAAAAAGAAACTGGAGCAAAATATGAGTCAGGGATCTTCCCAGCTGGGGTGATGGCTGTGCTCTTCCAGCGCCCATTCTGGCTGAGTCAGGGCATCAGAAACTTCTCTGAAGAGCCACTGGAAAGAGAGGCTTCAAAAGGCTTTGAGCAATAAAATCAAGGCCCAAAAAAAAGATTTTATTTTAAAAACAGGTTTGTGGGTTTTTCTTTTTGCATTCAATTCAATACATTGTCATTCAGACATCACAACACTATATACAGATACACAACATTTTTAAAAAGCCTATTTCTGATGAACATTGCAAAAGAACACTGTTTTGTAATGCGCCAGTGGGAGAAGGTGAGGGGCCCCCTAGCACCAAGTTGGCCTTGAAGAGAGAAATGTTAGGCAGCGTCTACATTAGCTGGCTTTGTGGGGGCCCTTATTTTGGCTTCCTGGAAGAAAACTGCTTTCCTCTGGACAATCAGTAAAAGTGAAAGTATGAGGCCTCTGTTCTTAGCTATTGCCATGATGGAGAAGTGACTGGAGAGGGATTCCGCTGGGGGACCCCAATCTCCATCCTGTGGTTCTTTCTTTATTTTCTTTAAGAAAAAAAGATTCTACTTCTTTATGGCTGAGAGAGAGAGAGAGAGAGAGAGAGAGAGAAAAGAAGGAAATAAGGATAAGCAGGGAAGAGCCCAAATCACTCAAAGCAACAACATATTCTAAATTCTGACCGAAGGCTGGTTGAGTTTCTGACCTTGGATTCCTGTGTGATGACTGGGAGAGCAGAACAGAGGAGGCAGTGGAGGCAAAGGCGGCTCCTGAGAAATTCAGTTTCCTGGTTGAGGGGGGTAGGTGGCTCTTAGGCCAATTCCAGCTTGTGTTGAAACAGAAAGAAAGAAAACCTATGTGCTGCCTGTACTCCAATCACGGTGCCTGACCCCTAATAATTATCATTAATATTAACACGACTTTTAAAATATGCACAGAAAAATCTTAATTGGGAATTCTTGCCTAACTAAGGAGTGCAGTAGGGACAGGGAGCAGGGGAGGACCGGAAGGAAATTTTAAGCTCACCAGGTCCTGCACTGAGGTTGAGATACCTCAGGAGGATCCTCTACCTGCTGGGCAAAGGAGGAGGCAAGAATGGGTCGTCGGGGTTCTCCAACCCTGCTTTGTTTGCAATGATTGGGCTCTTCTTGCTCTTCACTGCCACTTGGCTTTCTTACAAGGAGATGGGGGGCGGGGGATGGGGACCGGCAGCTTTGCTCCCACAGCCCGCCAGGGACCCACCTCCAAAGCTGTTGAGGCCCAGTAGATCCCATCTAGATGGGGGTGGGGGTTGAGGATGGGGTGGGGAGTAGGGGGACGACAGGGCGCCCCGCCCTTGGATACTCTCTGCCTCCCAGCCACGGTTCCTCTTTCTTGTTAACATTAAATATTCGTCTGCACCGGCGAAGGGTCCTTCGGTGAGTTTGGTTATGGTACAAAGCGGCGACATAAATAGAGGGGGAAGTGGCTGGGTGGGCGGTCAGGTGGAGTGGAGATGAGGCGCTTTCGATTTGCTGACCACCTTCTTCTCTTTGACTCGACGGTTCTGGAACCAGATGGTGACCTGGCGCTCGGAGAGGTTCGTGGTGGCAGAGATGCGCCGGCGCTTCTCTTTGGTGATGAACTTGCTGGCCGCGTATTCCTTCTCCAACTCCTTCAGCTGCACCTTGGTGTAGGGCACTCGCTTCTTGCGCCCGCGCCGGTAGCTGCTCACCTCAGGCTGTAGGGGAACCACGTCTAAGAGGGGAGAGAAGGCAGGCGGGCAGCGAGTGAGTCGCGTGGCTGGACCCTGGACTGGGCTACGGGCATCGACATCGCACCGCAGACTGGGCGCAAAGTTCTGGCAGGGACTCAAAGCGGGCCAGCGGATTGCCCTCAAATCTTTTGCTCTCTAGTAGCAAGGCCACGACTGAGGTGAGGCCACTGTGGTATTTTTCTCTGGTTCAAACTTTAAAGGAGGGGGCACAAAATACTCAGTCATCAAGATAAATAATACTTGAATACAATGCTTTAAAAACTCAAAATGATTGCAAAATAGCCATGATGAACAAAGTATCAATTTTATTTAAATAAACACTGGGACAGTATTACTGATTTTCCTTTTGTCTCAGGCTTCATTATGGCTTGGCACAGCAATCTCTGTGTCACTAGAATCTCTGTGCCCTTAGAGGGGTCCCTTCAAATTTCACTCTGGTCTGCAGGCCTTCCTGCAGTTAAATCATTTGGGCAGCCATCAGCTCACCCTCTGCTCCAGTATGGAGAGATGTTCTGTTGTAGGTTTGAGGAAGGACATGTCGGGCAGGGAGATAGCTGCAGTTGGCACCGACCACTAAGTGGCTGCTCACGGCTTTGCTCACTGGCTCTGCACTAGGAATCTGATGCCCGCACCACTAGACAGAGAGAAGAACAGTCCAGGTGACGCCAGCCTGCGTGGGAGCCCATCAGTCTAGGAGTCCAATTTTGTGAGCCACTTAACAACATCCAAGGTAGGAGGCCCTGGTCCTGAGATACAGAGAATCAGTCCTTGGAAGTAAAGGGTCCACGCCCCAGGGTCTGTCCACCAGAGAAGGCACCAGGAGAGCCCTTCTTGGGGGGTAAAATCAGCTATTCACATAAGTCTATAGAAAGAACTCAATGTCCCGCTGCCCCCACAAATATCCACCCACCAAAACAGGGCAAATTCTGCTCTGTTCCAACCCCCTCTCCTCTCCATTCTTCCAAAGCCGAAGAAAACTCTCTTCACCCCATGCAGGAATCCTAACCCTAAATCCTAAATACCTTGTCACCCTAGCCACTAGTAGTTCTGTTTCTTTATACTCTGAAAATTTCACAGAAACCAAAACCAAAAATCTTGTCACTTATACCCATCTTCCACTCCACCCTCACCTCTGTCAATAAAAAGGTCATAGCCACACTTTCAAGGGGAAGTGGGAAACTAGGGAGATTGTCTAAATAAATGGCCCCTTAATTTTTAAAATATAGTTATTAGACTTCTTCAGACAGAGCTAGTGAAGAAGACAGAATATTGGGGGTTTCTCCTTCATTCTCTACCCTTTGACAGTGTAGAAACAGTCCGGAGTGAAAACACAAAGTTCTTCCTGAAATGCTGTTCTCACTCCACCCTCCTACAACACCTTCCCTATGGCCATTCCCACTGGGACCCTTATCTCTATAGGATGGAGAGAGATGTCTCCTGAGAAAAAGTGCTCAGGAAGAATATGGGAGAGGGGGGTTCCAATGGCCTGGTTTGGCTGTCTTCGTGATGACAATTTCTCAGGAAAATTGTTGGATTTGTCCCTTGTCTCTGCCTATGTACGAATAGGCCAAGGTTTTATAAAAATCTGAAAAACAAAACCACTTTAACGGAGAAGATCCTTTAGGTTAAAAATGATTTTTTGTACAAGATAATTTTTTTAAAAAACCTCTCAGTTCTCAAGTTGTTTTTTACTCTTACAGATGTAACTATGATTCAGGAAATTGATGATTCTGGGACAAGGATAATACAGAGAAGGTAAGTGATGATATCATGAGGTCACTGTGAGGTTTTCTTTTTGTTTGTGTTAATCCCCAGAACTTTTTTTCAGGATTATTTTAGTAAACTCATTTACAAGATGAGAATTTGAGGCTCTAGTCTGGGTAAAATAACTTAAGTTTAAGATTTTAAACCCAGATTTTTGGACTCAACATAATGACACAGTGAGTTCTCAAATGGAAATAAACCACCTGATACAATCCAGCTTTAAAATATCTCCTTTTCAAAAAATAAAATAAAATAAAGTGCCTTCTTTTCCCTGGAGAGCAAAATGGAATAAAAGTGGCATTTAATTCCTGAAGTAAGCAGATAATTGTCCTCGTTGTTGTTGTTTTTCCCCTCACTTTCTGTAAATGCTCACAATTACCTACCCAATTTTGGATCCCCAAAACCCTAACTCTAATTTTCCAACGAGGTTTAATCAATGCAACCCTAAAAATCAGTCTTAAAAAACAAGTAATTGATGTAAGCTGGCTATTTTTCTCTGTAGGATACCAGGATTGATTTGGCCAAGTTTTTCATGGGTCAGACCAAACTGCTGGAGATTTTTTAAGACCTCCTGGGGAAATACCTTCTATCTTGCCTTCTCACAGAAGCCCCCTCCATTGTCTGTTGTCTTGTCTGAAAAGGAAGCGGGATCCACAGATGTGGGAACATCTAAAGCTTAGACCTGGAATGGTGTCTGTACTGCCTAAAGTAAACAGGGGAGTTGGCTAATTAATATTACAATCAACCCTTCCCTAACCTCCCTCCAGAGCATACACGCACCCAAACCACTTCATACCTGGGAATCTAATAGACACCTTTGAGGAGCAAATAAAAATCAATCAATGCTCAGCCATAGCTTTCTCTTGGAGCTCTGTGTACAGGTTCCTACTGCTCCCTCGCTCTTGCCCACTTACTGCCACAACAGAGCTCTGCGGAGGACGCCTTGCTCAGCTGGAAATCCTAGCTGCTCTTCTCAACCAAATCCAAAGGCTTGTCAGTAGGTACTCCAGCCTGGCCCAAAGAGCCCACTAAATGTTTCTCTCGTTCTCTCTCTCTCCTAATCCTCTCTGTCTCTCCCCATCCTTTCTTTGCTGATTCTCTCTCAAAATTTCTGCCTCTCTCTGAAAAAAAAAAGTCTACACTCACCATTGGAAGGAAGAGAGAGAGAGAGAGAGAGAGAGAGAGAGAGAGAGAGAGAGAGAAATGAAGCAAGGGTCTGTATAATTGGGGGAAGGAAAAAGCCACAACACATCGTGGCCCTAATTATTTGAATCTTTCTGAACAATTGCTCCATCTCCCACACCAGCCCAGACTGCCATAGATGAGGTTTCTCAGAGCCAGAGGCGCTGAAGAGAGACAGTAGTGTTTATGCCTAGATGCTGCGGAACAAACCACAATTGCATAGACAGAGTTATCTGGAAATCTCACTGCTTCTAAAAGATCTCTGTGTGGGCAGAAAGATGGAGGGTGTCTGAAGATCATTTCTTTTTCATCTGCCTATTGCCTGGATCTCTGCACTCACTGTGATACACCAGCCTGATTCTATTTCCACACAGGGAGTGTTTGAGCACAAAGCTGCTGAAACACACTGGGTTTTATATCCATTTCCATGCTGTAATTTGCATGCCATAATTTGCAAATGCATTACATCTCAGTTGGGCTATATATTTTTTATTTCAAAGCTATTTTTCTCTAGGAGGCTGTGATCACAAAGTGTTTATTTCTAGTGTGTTTTTCCCCCCTGGGAATCTTTAAAATGTATATTTTATTCAAAGATATTTCTGAGCTTCTCTTCAATCCTTCACCCCTACTCCACTCCACATGAATACATAAGGATGCCAGAGAAGCTCCTCTTCACTTCTTCACATTAAACCCATCGCCCATTGCTCCAGACCTGCACTTCTGCCCAGAGTGGGCCTGGTGGGTATATGCTCCCCTGTCTTTTGGGCCTTTAGAATGGCCTACTGGCTCCACCTGCTCCAAGAATTCTTGCTAGATACCCAATTCCTAAGGACCTTTCCATTTGGGAGAATTGGGGAATTAAAGGGCCATCTCTCTACATGTGAATTGCCTGTATTCTAGAAATATATTAGTGTATGTTTCATATTAGATGGTTAATAATAGAAATCTTATTATATTAAAATATTATCGCCAATGCCAAATATGTAATGCATGATACCATTCTATCATGCATTCTATCATCCTTAAATCTTCTTGCAACCAGAAATGGGGTGCTTAGGGTGGGTTTCACCCAGGTATTCAGTTGTATGTTATATTGAGTATTCTCAGAATATTTACAAGAATGTTATTTGCTACACTTTCTAACATAATTCAGTGATATTCTCACCATCTGCCCTTTCCCCAGTCCCGGATGCAGAGGAATTTCAGGCCCACTCTTAAGAGGTCTTCAGTCTGTATTTTCCAATGAAGATGTCCCTAGGCCCACATGCAGAGCTGGGGGACCTCTGGGCAGTATGGGGAGACATGTGTGGCTGCTCTGGGCCCCATTGGGCCCCTGTGGACATCGTAAGGGAGCCAGTCGGCCCTCTCTCCCTGAGCTCCACTTACAGCCAGAGCAGACTGAAGCTCTGGATTTGTTAGATCCCAAATCCTGATTTCTCAGTGCAGTGCTGAATTCAAAGCTCCCATATGGTTTTTAGAAACCCTTGGGTGGGTTGCAAGATCCCCTCCTGTTTAGGGAAAGCCTCATTTAAAGAGGAATAGGGCAATGGTGAATTCTACCCCCCTATACCCCACACATAGCCAGACAAAACTGAGGGGCTCTCAGCCTGGGCCTGGACCCCAGGTCCCTTCAGAACAGGTCTTCCTCCCTACACCTCTCATCCTTATCACCTTCTTTCTGTGTTTGAGGCATGGCTAACTCTCTCTCCCCGCACTTGGGGGAGTTAGCAGTGGAAACACCCATATTATTTGAACTCAGTATACCAGAAAGAAAAATAAAACTTATACCTCAGGAGAGGGATTCAAACTTCTTTCTCTACACACCCTCTCAAGAGAGATTTTAGCTCTGCTCCTTTAACAATTGGGAAATTCATGGCCAAATTTTTTTAATACATAAAAAAAGAAAAGAAAAAGGTAGTATCCTACATTTCTGTAGACCGTGGCAAATCGGACTCCTATTTAAAACACACACACACACACACACACCCACACACACACTCACCCACACACACACTGTCTAGTGCCTGAACGATCTTGGAAATTCTGGCAAAGAAAATGGGGGTTCTTATCCCCCCCCCCCAGTTATTTGGTGGGTTGAGGGTTTGGGGCTGGTGATTG